AACATCAAACAGATCAGCAGCAACATCAAACAGATCAGCAGCAACATGAAACGGATCAGTAACAACATGAAACAGATCAGTAGCAACAAGAAACAGATCAACAGGAACATGAAACAGATAATAATAATAATAATAATAATGTCATCACAATGTCAGCACTGTATGTTTCCATACAATGGCGAAATTAGTCTCTGCATTTAACCCATCCACCACCAGGTGGTGCAGTGGGCAGCTATTGAAAGCGCCCGGGGGACATTTTGGGGATTAGACGTGCTGCCCAGAGACGCCACGTGATGTGCAGTGACTGGGGATCAAACCTGGGACTCTCGGGTCCCAAGCATCAGCACGAACATGAAACAGATCAGCAGCAACATGAAACAGATCAGCACTAACATGAAACAGATCAGCAGCAACATCAAATAGATCAGTAGCAACATAAAACAGATCAGCAGCAACATCAAACAGATCAGCAGCAACATGAAACGGATCAGTAACAACATGAAGCAAATCAGTAGCAACAAGAAACAGATCAGCACGAACATGAAACAGATCAGCAGCAACATGAATCAGATCAGCAGCAACATCAAATGGATCAGCAGCAACATCAAACAGATCAGCAGCAACATCAAACAGATCATCAGCAACATGAAACGGATCAGCAACAACATGAAACAGATCAGCACGAACATGAAACAGATCAGAGGCAACATGAAACAGATCACCACTAACATGAAACATCAGCAGCAACATGAATCAGATCAGCAGCAACAACAAACAGATCAGCAGCAACATCAAATAGATCAGCAGCAACATCAAACAGATTAGCAGCAACGTCAAACAGATCAGCAGCAACATCAAACAGATCAGCAGCAACATCAAACAGATCAGTAGCAACATCAAACAGATCAGCAGCAACATCAAACGGATCAGCAGCAACATCAAACAGATCAGTATCAACATCAAACAGATCAGCAAAAACATACCATACCATACCAATTTATTTTTAGAGCACTTAAAACAGCAACAAGGCCAACCAAAGTGCTGCACAAAAGAAAACAAACATGCACAGTGGACAGGAAAACATAAAATAGAAATACAGATACAAATAGCAGCAGGAGCTAACTAAAATGGCCAACAGAGTAGAGAACAGACCGGACCAAAACAAATCACACCGTGTTAAAGGCAAGAGAATAGAAGTGGGTCTTCAAGCGAGACTTAAAGACTGAGAGTGTGGGAGCCTGCCGGACACTCAGTGGCAACTCATTCCACAGTCGTGGACCTGCAACAGAGAAAGCCCTGTCACCTCTGAGCTTACGACGGGTTTCTGGGACTGAGAGAAGCATCTGGTCTGCTGACCTCAGAGAGCGCGGTGGGACATATGGCTGCAGAAGATCAGTGAGATAGGATGGGGCGGAACTGTTCAGTGATTTAAAAACATACATGAGAATTTTGAAATGGATCCCAAGGTGAATGGGTAGCCAGTGCAGGGAGGCCAAAACTGGCGTGATGTGCTCTCTATAGCCTGTACCAGTTAAAAATCGGGCTGCAGCATTTTGGACCAGTTGTAGACGAGCAATGGAGGACTGACTGATTCCAAACACAAGTGAATTGCAGTAATCAAGCCTAGATGTTATTAAGGCGTGGATCACTGTCTCGAGGTTCTTTTTGGAGAGTATAGGCTTCAGCTTAGACAGCCGTCTCAGCTGAAAAAAACAGGATTTGACCATCATGTTTACGTGACTGTTGAGTTTTAAGGATGGGTCCATAATCACCCCCAGATTAGTGACCTTTTGTTTCTCTAGCGGGGCTAGAGAGAAAAGGTCAATGTCATGGTTCATGAGTGAGACACTGGGATGGAACAGCATGACTTCAGACTTCTTCTCATTGAAGCTTAAGAAGTTTAAAGCCATCCAGTCCTGGATGTCAGCCAGGCAGTCAAGAAGAGGCTGAATAGAGCGTGTGCCTCTGTGCCTCAGGGGGAAGTAAATTTGGCAATCATCGACGTAGAAATGAAAGGGTATGTTGTGTTTGCGGAAGATAGCACCTAGTGGCAGCAGGTATAAAGAAAAGAGAAGGGGACCGAGGATGGACCCCTGTGGTACCCCCCACTGGAGCGCTGTCGATGCCGAACTAAAATCTTTGATATTGACACAGAAGGTTCTGTCAGAGAGGTAGGACCCAAACCATTTAAGGGCTGACCCTGTGATGCCCACCCACTGCTCCATTCTAGAAATGAGGATCTTGTGGTCGATGGTGTCAAAAGCAGATGTAAGGTCCAATAGGACCAACAGCACAGAATCACCTGCGTCTGTGGATATGAAAATGTCATTAAAAACCTTCAGTAGAGCAGTTTCAGTGCTATGGAGAGATTTGAAGCCAGATTGGAATAACTCTAGAGTAGCGTGATCCCCCAAAAACTGTTTCAGCTGAGACTCCACAATTTTTTCCAGTAGTTTAGAGGTGAATGGGAGTCTGGAGACAGGCCGGAAGTTGGACATGACTGAGGGGTCAAGGTTAGGTTTTTCAGGAGGGGCTGGACAGCAGCATGTTTAAAAGTCTTTGGCACCACACCTGAGGATGAACTGCTATTCAGAATAGCGAGAATAAAAGGACCCAGGGTAGGAAAAACTTCCTTTAGTAGTCGAGGGGGGACCACATCAAAGGGGGAACCAGATGGCTTCATGCTGCACATTACCTGCTCCAGAGAGGACAGAGAGATGGGCTCAAAGTGGTCAAACACAGCCACACACTGAAATGGGATGGACAGATCATGAGCTGGTGGAGAAATGAGTGCCCGAGTGTTTGCCACTTTTTCTAAAAAGAAATGGAGGAAGTTTTCACACAGCTCAGTTGAGGCTTCCAGAGGTGAAGGCTCACTGAGGTGTAGAACTGAGTTCAGGGTGGAGAAAAGAACTCGGGGGTTGTGGGAGTTGGAGACAATTAAATCAGAGAAGAATTTACATTTGGCAGCTTTAACGGTTTTCTGATAGTGACGCCAACTCTCCCTTAACATTTGAAAAGACACCTGGAGCCTGTCCTTCCTCCACTTTCGTTCAGCTCTGCGACACTGCCGCCTAACGGCTCGTGTGACGTCATTCAGCCAGGGCTCTGATCTAAGTTTTGTTTTTCTGGTCTTAAGGGGAGCAACACGGTCCAGAACATCTAAACAGGCAGAGTTGAACTGAGAGGTTAGCTCCTCAGTGGTAAGAGACACCGGGAACTGTTCGATCCTCTCAGAATTAAAACCTTCATTAAAACGAGCAGCAGTGAAACGGTTAATGGAACGCGTACGTGCAGGAATGCACGTCTTAGCAGTATGACGGGGGGGTGAGGTCAAACAATACAGGCATGTGATCTGAAAAAACATTGTCACCGATTTTCAAATTAGAAACAGAGACATCGCGTGTTAAAACGAGGTCCAGCGTGTGACCGTGTTCTTGGGTGGGGCCGTTCACCTGCTGAGCTAAGCCGAAAGAGTCCAATAAATCTAGAAAGTCCTTCACTAAGGGCTTCTCCTGACAACACACATGCAAATTAAAGTCACCAATAAGCAAAAAGTGAGTTTATCTGTGTGATATCAGCCAAAAAGTCAGAGAATTCATTTATGAAGTCCTTAGAACGAGGTGGGCGGTAGATGAGCGCACACAGGACCGGAGGAGAGTGTCCAAGTTCAAAGGCGCTCAGCTCAAAGCTGGCGCGGGACACCGGGATGGACAGCTGTTTACAGGCCAAGTTTGCTTTAAAAACTGTTAATAATCCCCCC